CACGCACACTCACGCACACTCACACACACGCATACACACTCACGCACACGCACCTGAGCAGTACACCACTTGAAAAGGGATGCGTGTTGGCATCTCGACCGGCCGCAGCGGAGCTGATTCCTTTTAATTTGCGTGTCTTGTGTAGTGTGTTGTTTATAGCCAGCCAGCCCTGCCTGGCCTTGTATCCCTTGTGTTTTGTGCGGTGTTGTGGTGGTGGTGGTAAGTCGCCCTTGCTCAAGACTACGAATGCTTTGCCCGCTCCTGCCGGGCCTCATCAGCGACAACAGCCAGCCAAGCGAGCGACTCAAAGCAGCGTCGTCGTCCTCCTCAGAAACCCTTCTTCTTCGTCCTTGCCCACCAGTTTGTTTGTGTGCGTTGTGCTGTTGTCCAAGATTTGCACAAAGTCTTTAGTGAATTTTCCGACAGGGTGTTAGATTGACATTGAATCTTACCCGGGCCGTTTTATTTTGTTGGTCAGGGGTTTGGTTTGCCTGCACGCAAAAAATTTTTGTGTTGTGGCTTTGTTTTTGTGGCTGGAGAGAGAGAGAGAGACCATTCCAAGCACGCCACCACCCAAAACAACCTCCACCCACCCAACACCACCAACCAACCAACAAGGGTGCGGCCAGGGCCAACCCACTCCCAGGAGAAGGAAAAGACAAGTCCCTCCCTTCCTTCCCACCACGCGCGCGAGACAACAAGAGAGAGAGAGAGAGAGACAACAAGACAACAAAGAGCCACCCAGCGCTCTTGCTTTCGTGCTTTTCTTTCTGCCCCCTTTTTTTTTTTCTTTTGCCCCAAGGACTTGCTTGCTTCTCTCCACTTGTTCTCGTTGCTCTTCTCCTCTTCCTCTCCTCAGCTCAAGACCACTGCGTGGCGTGGAACGGCGGCGCAAACCATGGTGGTGGCTGTGCTTGGCATCATCTTGTTGGCACTTGTGAGTGTCAGCAGTGGTTCCACAAGCGTGGACCAGCAACCCGCTGAAGCAACCACCTTTGAGCGCCTCGATCAATCTCAGACTGGCCGTGTGACCACCTTCCACGTGCGTTCCATCCATTTTGCCCCACACGTCATATCTGTCTGTCTGTGTGTGTGTGGTGTGTGTGTGTGTGTGTGTGTGGTGTGTGTGTGTGTGTGTGTGTGTGCCCGTCTGTCTGTCTGTGTCTGCCTGTCTGTCTGTGTCTGTTTCCCTTTGCGTCTGAGTAGTGAGTGTGTGTTTTCGATGTGAGGGTTGAGCCGCTTGATCATTTTTCACACACGAATCCCTCAATCTCACAAGCTCACATGTCACGCACTGCATCTGCACTCACTCGTCTCTCACTTGGTGACATTGTCGCTGTGCAGATCCCATCGAGCGGAGTGTGGCAGAGTTTCACTGCTGGTCTCACTGGAAACCTCACTCGCCTTGATGTCCTCCTTGGCCAAGCAAAACCCGGTACGCAGCATGTGTGCGTGCGTGCGTGCGCGTTCGTTTGTGTGGTATGTGTGCGCACGCGTACTTAATTACTTACACTCACCCGCTCACGCCCCACCTGCCTCGCCTCCACCCCTTGCTCACTCAAACCTCCCGTGGTGTTCATTCTTGTATTTTGCAGGGGACACATGCAACACGTATGATGGCGATCTTGTGCTGTATGAGGGAAGCGGTCGCTTCCAGGCGCCGTTCTTCTCCCAGCACTCCCAATTGACCAGCCAACGCGTCGTGGGCTCGGAATGCCGGTGCACCAGCAAGGTACAACTAACTACCCATACATTCAGCACACAGAGAGATTTGTCAGTCGATGGCAACTCTGCAAATGGCGTGCACTTCTGGTGAAAGGAGGAGGTGCTTGACCTTGCTCTTCGCGGGGTTGCTGCGGCTGTGACGCTGTTCATCCCCCCGGGTTCATTCGTTGTTTATTTTCGCAAGTTCGCACTCTCACTAGCACTTCTCCACCCCAACCGAACACTTTCCATGGCCCATGAACCGTGATGTCCACTATGGGCAGGACTGCGTTGTGTGGCAGTCATTTGTGCTGAGCTCCGCTGTTCCTGTCGTAGCTGGAGAGCGCTACTCTTTCTTCCTTTCCCCTCCACACCGCCACCGCCGTATATCCTTCCGCGTTGGCCTGGCCGTCGCCGACCTCTACACTGCCGGCAGCAACCACTTTGCGGTGAGCTTTTGTGTGTGTGTGTGTGTGTGTGCGTGTGCGTGTGCATGTGCGTGTGTGTACGGCTGAGTCTACACGTGGCATGTTTGTTCCATGTTTGTGCGTGTTTGCGTCTTTAGTTCCCTGCTTCAGCAACGTGCACTGCGCATCAACACTCACTCGCACACGCACACACACGCACACACACGCACACACACACACACACACACACACACACACACCAACGCGTATGTTCTCTCCCCCAACTCCCAATTCAGGCACCCGGGTATGACTTTACGTTCAAGACCTATGTCAACGTGGACAGCGACGCCGTGGATCTGAGCCAGCAAGAAGACAGCACGCAGCCCACCGGCAGTCCCGAAGGATCCACAGCAGAGCCCACCGACCGCAATGCCAGCAATAGCGCAGGTAGCGCCGTGCAGACGTCGCTGCTGGTGGCGGGCCTGGTGTGTGCAGCCACCATCTTCGTGGTGCTGGTGATGGCGTTTGTGCGGCGGCAGCGTCGCCGCGGCGCGCGGGTGCTGGCACTGGGCACATTCGCACCGCGCGGCACCGGAGACAAGAACAGCCGCATGCGTGGTGGCGACGCTGCAGATGTTGACGCCGTGGTGTTTGACGATCTCTTCTACCACGATGACGATGCGGCGGCAGCAGGGACGTGGCGGCAGACGTTTGAGGCCGCACTCGACGGCCAGCCGGTACAGCGGGCGTGGGATGCCGAGTCACAGCACTTCACGACAACCGTGTCCGGCGACGCTGGCCTGTGGCAGCGCCACCCTTCACCACTGTCGCACGAGCAAACCGAGGATGGCGGGCGTGGCGAGGGTCATGGACACGGGTGTGATGCTGAGGAGGCTGCTGCTGAGGCTGAGCTGCATCGGCATATGGGTGGTGTGGGTGCACGTGCTGCGCAGATGCGGGCGCGTGGGCACCAGCATACTGTGCTGTGGCTTGAGTTCAACGAGCCGTCCGCACATGACGGCGTGATGATGCCGTCAACCACACACAGTGGCAGCGGCGGCGATCGTGGTGGTGATTGGGATAACTGGGACAGCGCTGACGTCTATGTTGATGACGCACACGCGAACGTGTCTACCACATAACGAGTGTGTGTGTGTGCTTTGTGTGTGCGTGTGTGTGCTGTGTATGCGTGCTTTGTGTTGTTTGTGTCGTCGTGTCTGTGCATGCGTGTGCTTGTTCGTTGCCTGCTGTAAACGAGTGGCTTGCTGTGGCAGGCTGGCAGGCTGGATGGCTGGCTATTGCTCAGCGTCTCAGTCTCCTTGTCAGCCTCCGACCGAGTCCAAGCTGCGTCTTCTTCTGCGTCTTCTCTTCTTCTTCTTCTTCTTACCTTTGGCTCTGTGGAGCGCGTCTTGCCGAAAACCCTGGCCTAATGGCTTCCTGTCCCTTTCCCTTCTTCTTTCCCCTCCTCTTCAGTTTCTTCCTTCTCTTCGACCTCTTCCTTGCACCATGTACAATGACCAATACAGAGAAAAGGAGAAAAGGAGAAAGGTGACACTGGCTCCCTGCCTGTTGTGTGTGTGCGTGTGGGGGAGGGGGGAGCAGAAGCAGCCAGCCCAACGTATCGGTGATATTTGGCGGAAGATGTCATTAATTTTCGGTAACCCTCCGCCAAAGCAGCAGCGGTTTGTGTCTCGCTCTCGCTTGCGTCTCGCTCACTTCTTCAACCTCCCACATACTTCACACACACACACACACACACACACACACACACACACACACACACACACACACACACACACACACACACACACACACACACACACACACACACACACACACACACACACACACACACACAACACACACAAACACACACACACACACACACACGCGGACGCAGACAAGCAAGCGTGTCGCATCCCTTTGTTGTCGGACGCAATGGCGTCAGAGCTGAAGGAAGCCAAGACATACACGCCAACAGCAGACGAGTGGCGCGACCCGCTCGTGTACATCTCCCACATCGAGCCTGAAGCAAGGCAGTATGGCATTGTGAAGATCAAACCGCCTGCTGTAAGTTCCTCAGAGCCAAGAACATGGCTCGTCTCCCGCCTCTTGCCTACCGCGTCGCCTATTCCGCCTCCTCCCACGCGCTCCCACTCACACTTCCTTCGCTTGCCGCTTCCGGCTGCTCACTCCCTTGCTACTTCTTCCCTCTTCTTCTTCTCCCTCTTCTCCATCTGTGCGCGCACAGGGATGGGCGCCGCCGTTCTGCCTCGATGACACGCGCTGCCGGTTTCAGCCACGGTACCAGGACCTGCGCGACGTCGAAGGCCTGCACCGTCTCAAAGTCACGTTCATCGGCCAGCTCGAACACTACTGGGACCTGCAAGGCATCCGGTGGCAATGTTACAGGCGCATCAAAGGCTGCTCCGTCGACCAGTTTGCGCTCCATCACGTAAGTGTGAGCAGGTGTGCCACGGCAAAGCATAAACGTTGTGCCACGCAACTCTGCGCCGCGCTCTGTGCTGTTGCTGTGCTTTAGGCTTTCTTTGCCTCATCTCATGATATGCTGGCGCTTGCCTTTTTTGCTTTGTTCATTCACAACGAATGCTGGTGTCGATGCCGCACAGGCGGTCGCTGGATTTGGCGGCTTTGACAAAGTGTGTGCCGACAGAAAGTGGCGTGAGGTTGCTGACAAGGTACTTCACCCCTACATGTATTGGGGTTATGCTCATGCGATTCATTGTCACAAAGAACAGCGTATCCTGCGTGACCATTAGGCCGCCTTTTAATTTGTGTGCAAACACTCACTCACTCCCTCACTCACTCACTCACTCACTCACTCACTCACTCACTCACACACTCACTCACACACAAACTTCCACTCACTCACACTCACTCACTCACACACTCACACACTCACTCACACACACTCACACACACACACACTCACTCACCTACACACTCACATCATGCGTCTCTCTCTCTCTCCCTGTCTGTCTTCTCTTCATCTCGGCGCACGAGCAGATTGGGTTCGCTGAGCCCAAGCACTGCAACCTGCTGAAGCGACTGTATGCCACCAGCCTGCTCCCGTTTGACCGGTTCATGGCCACCTGCGAGACGGAAGCATCGCAGGCATCAGACGGCACAGCCAGCGATAACAGCCACAACACCAGCATCGACAACGACGCACATGCGCGTGGCGACAAGCCGCCTTCGTCATCGCCATCGTCATCCGCCGTGCACGCGGGCGACCAACAGCCAAAGCGTGCGAAAATTGAGCCCGTCGTAAAGCAGGAGCCACCTGGCGCCCACACAAGCAACAATGACAAGCAGCGGCAGCAGCAGCAAGACCAAGGCGTGGTGGCCTCGCAGCAGTCGTCCACCACACTCGAGCCTGCCAACACGCAGCAGGAGGCTAATGCTGTTACCAACACCAGCAACACCAACCCAGCAAGTGTAAGCGCGGGCGCGAGCCGCCGCGCGAGCAGGGCGATCAGTCGAAGTGCATCAACGGCGCCTGGCTCTGGTGCGGAGATTGCGCTTAGTCACGGCGGGCACCGCCCCCCGCTGGGCACGGAGGACCACTCGCTCGGCGATGACATGTGCGAGGAATGCAAACACGGCGACTACGCTGAGCTCTTGCTCCTCTGCGACAAGTGCGACAAGGTACGGTGCTCTGTGTGTGTGTGTGTGTGCGTGTTGCTGTGTTGCTGTGTTACTGTGTTCTTGCTGCTGACTGCACTGCAGTCTACCACTGCGTTGCTTGACCCGTTTGCGCCGTCGTCACTCGCCTCACCAGCCCGCTCCCGCGTCCCCACCTCACCACATACGATTGCACATCACGCCACGCCGGCACCACCAGGGCTACCACACGTTCTGCCTGAACCCGCCGCTGTCAAAAGTGCCGAGCGGCGACTGGCGATGCCCGTCCTGTCTGCGCACCGAGTACAAATCCATTGAGCCAGAGCTCCTCGACAACTATGGCTTCTACCAGAGCCACACCACATACGCCCTCAAGGTCAGGCAGGCGCCCGTCAGGTGGCAAAGGACGGTGTCGCATCGGGACGTTGCTTGCTCTTGTGCGACACACACACGCACACGCACACACACACACACACACTCTCTCTCTCTCTCTCACTGACAATATGGTGCCTCCCCTGCCAACTTAAAAACACACACATCATCATCATCATCATCATCATCATCATCATCATCATCATCTTCATCATCCTCATCCTCATCATCCTCATCATCATCATCATCATCATCATGATCATGATCATCATCATCATCATCATCATCATCATCATCATCATCATCATCATCATCATCATCATCATCATTATCATCATCATCATCATCATCATCACATGTGTATACCCCTGTCTCATCAGGACTTTACGAAGCACGCCGATGAGTACGAGAACAAGGTGATGGGTGCGGTTCGATATGAGCGCACACTCCAGGGCAAGGAGGCTGCGTTTTGGGACATTGTTACAGCAAAGCAGCAAGTGGATGAGAAGCTCGCATGGGTACGAAGCGCGTGCGTGTGTGTGTGTGTGTTTGTGTCTGTGTGTCTCTGTGTCTGTGCGTGTGTGTATGTCTGTGTCTCTGTGTTTGTGTCTGTGTCGCTGAATTTGTACATGTGTCAACTGTTGCTGTTGTTTGCACAGTGCGTCAGAAAGTCCATGGTTACGCTCATCATTGCACTCATGAGCCCATTGCGCATCACTGACCGTGCCTTCATTCCCCCGTGTCATCATCACCACAGGTGGAATATGGCGCCGACTTACCTGTGCTTGAGATTGGCAGCGGATTTCCGTCAAAGCACAACCGGTTCCAGAAGCGTGACGTGGACGAGCGCTCCTACAAGTCCTACCTGCACCACCCGTGGAACCTCGTGAACCTTCCCCTCAACCGCCGCAGCCTGCCGCAGCTGCTCAACGCCAACGTCTCTGGCGTGAGCGTGCCGTGGGTGTACGCAGGCATGCTCTTCACCAGCTTCTGCTGGCACACGGAAGACCTGCACACGGCATCCATCAACTACAACCACAAGGGCGCGGTCAAGACGTGGTACGGTGTCCCCGCCGACGACCACGATGCGTTTGTCAGCGCGGCCAAGGACTATGCCGGCGCGCTGTTTGAGAACAGCCCGGATCTGCTTGAGCACCTGGTGACGCTCATTCCGCCGCAGGAGCTGACCAAGCGCGGCGTTCGTGTGTGCCGCATCCACCAGCACGCGGGCGAGTTTGTGGTGACGTTTCCAAAGGCCTTTCACGGCGGCTTCAACCAGGGCTTCAACGTCGCGGAAGCCGTCAACTTTGCAAACACGGCCTGGCTCAGTATGGGCAGGAGGTGCGGTTTTGCTGCTGATGTTTGGTTGTTGGGTTTGCTGCGGCTGTGGGTTCTAGAGTGCAGTACCTGCTCTGTCCTGGCGGCCTGCTTCTCAGCACGCGTCATTCATCTGTATTGAGGTGTTGTGTTGTGTGGTATGGTGTGCGCAATATGTTGCTCCTCTTCTTTTCCTTGATGCTGCTCTTGCGACTGTGGAAGCAACCATTGCTCTCATGTCAACTTTGATGATGTTTTCACACATTCCTTCTCCCACACACACACACACACACACACACACACACACACACACACACACACACACACACACACACACACACACACACACACACACACACACACACACACGCACGCACGCACGCACGCACACACGCACACACGCACACACGCACACACACACACACCAGGTGCCACCAGCACTACCGCAGCATCAAGCGGCGGCCCGTGTTCGCCTTTCCCGAGCTCCTGGTCACCGTCGCCAAGACAATGGCCGCATTGCACGACGACGGCAAACACGTCGATGCTCGCGACGCCGCGCGTGTGCTGGCTGAATTGGAGCTGCTGATTGCGGACGAGCGGGCCACTCTCGCCCGCGTGCAGTCCACGTTTCATGATGCGATCAAGTGTGCGCCGGAGGATCCGTCCATCGCGTCCATTCCGGACGATGACCGCGTGTGCCGCGTGTGCAACACCACTGTTTCGCTGACGTTTGTGCGATGCAAGTGTGCGCGCGCGCTCACGTGCGCGGACCACCTGCCGCTCGCATGCGAGTGCGGCGCTGATGACGTGCGTGTGGAGACGTTGTGTGCAGTGCCCACGCTGGAAGTGCTCAGACAGAAGCTGCAAGAGGCCGTGGCGCGATTTGACACGTGGCTGGCGGAGTGCAGACGGCACTTTAGCGACAGCGAGTGGTCTGAATTGGAAGCAGCACAGCAACACCAACACCAACACCAACACCAACAGCAGCAACAGCAGCAGCAAGGGGTGCGACGTGATTACTTGTGCGTACCCAGTGCTGGGCACATGCACGTTGTTGAAGGCGATTCCGTGTGCGAAGAGCATCCACTTGCCAACATGCTTCCGCTGAACGTGAACGTCCCTAATCGATCCTACCGGCGCGGACGGCCGCCAAAAGCGTCGACCACAGACGCAGCAGCAGCAAAGAACACGGCGGGAAGCGGTGATCTGCAACACGTGAAGAAGGAGAAGGAAGAAGACAACCTGCGCCGTGTCACGGACGTGGCGGTGGCAGGCTCGCAGTCCCAGCAGGAGCACGCGCATGACGACATTGCGTTTGACACAAAGGACCAAGACAACAGCAAAGCCCAGGGTGATGATGATGATGATGATGATAAGGATGATGATGATGATGATAAGGATGATGGGTGGGATGTGGACAGCAGCGCCCCACCATCGCGGATGGACACGACGCGCGATGACGATGATGCGGCAGCGGTGTGGCCCCGGTTGATTGCATCATGCAGCACGACGCTTGCACAAGCAGAGGCGTTTGTCGAGGCGTCACCATCCGCATATGAGCTGGACCCCGTCCTGCATGCGCTCCGACGCAAGATCAAGCGGACGCGCGCGCTCAAGGCCGAGTGCGGCGACCTGCTCACCCGCGCCACGTACTGCACCACCAAGCACGCGCAACGGGTGAGCCGCCCACAGCAGCCGCTGAGCTTGTGCGAGCTGGCACGGTTTGCAGAGAGGTATGCGCGTGCGTTTTCGTTCCGCGCCGCGTCGCAGCTGCAGAAATATGCAGATGACAGCGAAGCCGTGTGCCGCCAACTCCACGCTCTCCTTCACAATCACCAGCAACAGCAACAGCAGCACCAGCAGCAACAAGAAAAAGAAGTCCGCAAGAAAGTCCAGCCAGCGAGGAACACTGCAAGCAGCGGCATTGGCACCGACAGCGGTGCTGGTGGCCCGAAGGTGTTTGATGAGTTTGAGGAGAAGCTGTCGACTCTGCCTGTGCGGCCAACGTCGATTGCGACTGCGCTGGAGTCGCTCATGCGCACGTGGCAGTGGATGGCCGAGTGCCGCGCCATTGTCGCCGTCGCAAACAGCAGCAGCGGCGGCGGCAGTAGTAGCAACGCCTCTGATGCCGATGCTGCTGGAGACGCGGATAAGGAGGAGCATGGTGCGAGCGAAGAGGAAGAAGAAGGAGAGGTGCGAACGCTTGATGAAGCGCGTGAGTGTTTGAATCGTGCGGCATGTGCTGACGCAATCCCGGACGCATACAGGGCGTGCGTGAACATGGAGGCGGTGGCGTCACTCAAAGAGCAGCTGGTGGAGCTCATTGCGGAAACAGAGGCGTGGGAGCAGCATGCCGAGATTATGATGAAGGGCAAGCCCTCGATTAACGAGCTGCAGTCGGTGGCGTCGAAGCAGCCGCCGCTGGACTGCCCACAGGCGCAGCACGTGCAGCAGCTGGTGGAGGAATATGAGGGCTGGCTCGACCAGGCACAGCGGCTGCTGATGGTGGTGGCAAAGCCCGCGAGCAAGGCCAAGGGCAACAAGGGTGACGAGAACAGCAAAGGCAAAGAAGAGGGCCGTGACACGAACAACAAACAGAGCGGGCAGAGGAAGCAAGAAGGGCAACCAGCCAGCGAAGGACTCAGCAGCAACGATAGCAACAGCACCAACAAGCACCAGCAGCAAGGAGATGGACAAGACGAAAAGCCAGCCGTCACAGCATCTGCTGTCAACAACAACAACAACAACAACAACAACAACAACAACAACAACAACAACAACAACAACAACAACAACAACAACAACGATGACGAAGGTGACAACGACCAGGGCGACGATGCATTTGAGGAGGAAGAGGAGATGACAGCGGAGACGATCACGCGCGCGTGCATTCGCCCGGGCGCCCAATACAAGGACGTGCTTCGGTTGATTGACGTCGGGCAGCGGCTGCCGCTTGATGTGCGGCGTGAGGTGCGCACGATTGAGAGTCTTCTTGAGCCGACGCGGCGGTGGATGCAGAGTGTGGAGCGCGCGTTCCTGCAAACGCGGGGGCGATCGCAGCAGTCGAAACGGCCACTGTCAGCGCGAAGGCAGAGCGGAAGCCGGCGGCGACGTGACAGGCGGCAGCAACAGCAGCAGCAGCAGCAGCAACAACAACAACAACAGCAGCAGCAACAGCAGCAGCAGCAGTTATTGCCGATGTACACGCTGCGCAAGGTGTTGTCGCACGGGCTTCGTGTTCCTGATGTGAGCGGGATGCAGGCGATCCGGAACAAGAACGACGCGGCTGAGAACGACCCGGACGCAACGTTCTGCCTGTGCGAGGAGGACGATGGTGGCAGCATGGTGCAGTGTGCGTGCTGCCTCGATTGGTACCACCACCGCTGCGTCAACTACAAGCCACCTGTGCGCCCGTCGCGGTACATCTGTCCGCGCTGTGCGTACGGCCGTCGCCCGAGCGTGGAAGCGCTGCTGTCGCTGGCGGAGACCGGCAAGGCCACCAAGCTGAGCACGCCCGAGCTCAATGACATACTTCGTTTGAAGGACAAGTATGCGACCTGGCTGCGACAGGTTGCGCGGCTGTGGCGGTGTCCGCGCGGAACTGTTGCGGACTGCGTGCACGACGCCGTTCGTCTCGCCATCATCGGCGACCTCATGGAGATTGACACAGGTGTGTGTGTGTGTGTGTGTGTGTGTGTGTGTGTGTGTGTGTGTGTGTGTGTGTGTGTGTGGGTGTGTGGGTGTGTGGGTGTGTGGGTGTGGGTGTGGGTGTGTATGTGTGGGTGTATGTGGGTGTGTCTGTCTGTCTGTCTGTCTGTCTGTCTGTCTGTCTGTCTGTCTGTCTGTCTGTCTGTCTGTCTGTCTGTCTGTCTGTCTGTCTGTCTGTCTGTTTTTGGGGAGTGGGAGTTGTCGGTTTGGATGGGCTGGTGTTTGATGTTGGAAATGGGCTGCGTACGTTATTGACGTGGTTGCATTGGCAGAGGGAACGGGTAACGGTGTACAGATTTGTTGAAACTGCGCGCATTTGTTACTTTGTACCACTGGTATCCTCTCACAGCGTTGTCATGGTTCATGTTTATGGCTTTTCTCCCAGGCGACATTGTTGATGCGCTGTGCGTGCGAGTTGGCCTGCAAGAACCAGAGGAGCAGCAACAAGAACACGATGAAGATGGCGCTGAGCCCGACGCAAAGAAGGCCAAGCAAACCAGTAGTGCCAACGACGATGGCGACGATGGCGACGATGATGACGACGAAGATGAAGTGGGTAAATCATGTTGTGCTTAATGCGTGTGTGTGTATGTGCATGTGCGTGCGTGTGTGTGCATGTGCGTGCGTGTGTGCTTGCGGGAATGTGCATGTGCGTGCGTGTGTTTACTTGCGTCGACAAGTGCGTGACCCGTCCATTCTGCACCACTGCTGTCCTCACGTTGTGGTTGCTTGTTGTGTTGTGTAGCGCTTCTGCTTCTGCCAGCAGCCGCACGATGACCGACCCATGATCATGTGTGACTCGTGCGAAACCTGGTGCGTATCCTGACCCGCTCTGTCGCGCCATTGATTGCTCATACTTGTACCTTGCCTTCAGCTGTGCACCCGCACACTCACTCATACACACTCACACACTCACTCACTCACTCACTCGCACTATCGCTCACCCGCACACTCACTCATACACACTCACGCACTCACTCATTCACTCACACTCTCGCTCACTTACACTCACTCATACACACTCACACACTCACTCACTCACTCGCACTATCGCTCACTTACACACGCACACTCACTCGCTTACACACACTCACTCACTCACTCACTCACTCACTCACTCACTCCACCAGGTACCACTGCGGATGTCTTGCGCTGACAAACGAGGAAGCTGAGCGGCTTCACGAGTACAAGTGCCCCGCGTGCGAGGAAGAGGAAGAAGAACGGTTGTTTCGCACCCCTAACCGCAACAGTGGCGCTGCTACAGCAACCGGCACCACCACAACCACCGCTGGTGCAAGCAGCAATAGCACCAACAGCAGCCAGGCGGGCGGCAGTGGCGGCAGAACGAGAGGCGCTGGTGAGCCCGGCAGTGGCAGCAAGCCGTCGCCCATGACGCAGGTGCTCATTGACGAGATTTCGCGCGACGGGTGCTCGCCGCACCCAAGCCCGCGGCACCACCGCAGCAGCAACAACGGCAACAGCAACACAGCTGCCACGGCGACTGGCGGTGGTGTGACGGTGCAGCAGGTGGGCCCTGGTGTATTCCTGCGCATGAACACGCCGCCCTGTGACATGATGCCTGGCGACAGCAGCAGCAGCAACAACACCAGTCTCAACGGCTATGGTGGCGCATGTGCAAAGCAGCGGGCCATCTCCCCTGTGCCCTTGATGATGGGCAGCATGACGCCACCACCGCCAGCGTTGTCCCTGACAGGTAGTGCCAACACGTCCGCAGCACAGCCAGCACCGAAAGCAACGGCGTCAAGTGCAGCACAGCAGCAGCAGAACGACCTTGCGTGGGTTTCGGCAAACCAGGATGCGCTCGATGCCCTGCTGCGCGCCGCCAGCCCACACCCGCCGCAACAGCAGCAGCAACAGCAGCAGCAGCAGTTGTAGAAGTGATGTGAGTTGAATGTGTGTGTGTGTGTGCGGTTTGGTATTGCGCGTGCATGCTGCTGGTGTGTGCTCGTGTGTCTGCCCGTGTACTTGTTGGTTTTGGTTTGCTTTCTGGACTGGTGTTTGTGGTGGTATTTCTGGCGCTAAGCGTATGTATGTAAAGTATTTGAGCTGATGAAACACGTCTACAAACGATGATGACAAGCGCACATGAACACGACGCATGAGCACGGTTGCTCGGTAGTTTGGCCAATTCGCATCACTCGCTGTGTACAAGACAAAGTTCAGGTGGGGGGGGGGAAGCAGGAAAGGGCAAGAGGAAAGTGGGAGGCAGCACATTCGTCAATGAAGCAGTAAGCAAGCAGGCCAACAGGCCAACAGGCCAACAGGCAGGCAGGCAGGCAGGCAGGCAGGCAGGCAGGCAGGCCACGGCACCATGCATGGATACGGTTGCAAACACACGAAGGGTCTTGTTCCATCACACGACACGTTGTGAAATGACGTGTGTGGTGCACAGACCAAGCCACAAATGCAAACACACACAGGTACATGGGCTGGTGCTACAACCGCCACACTGACACACCCATCGTCAGTGGCTTCACTACAGTTAACAGACACACGAGCAAGTCATTCAAACGCAAAAGAAATGGTATGCGTCGCAAACCAAACAAGTGTGGGCACACATACACGCGCATATGAGAGGACGACGCTGTGCACAAACACCGACGACACACGGAAGAGAAGGTACACACACACGCGCGCGCGCAGATGATAACAAGACTGTCATGCACATGCAGTCGCTCGCATTATGACACACACGCACACATGAATAAACAAACAAACAAACAAACAAACAAACAAACAAACAAACGCACATACACACACACACACACGCACACGCACACACGCACGCACACACGCACGCACACGCACACACGCACACAAACACATTACAGCCCGTCCGTGTTGTGTGACATGACATGTCACCAGTCTGTTACGTTGTCGTCTCTGAAGATGATTTGGCTGATGCGAGTTGGAATCATGTACAAGTACTGCAGGAAGGAGATGACCCAGCCCATGTTTTTGCTTGCGGGGGTTACGTGCTTCTTGGCCGATGTCTCCACAAACTCAACCATGTCCACGCAGTCCGCGGCGCGGAAGGGGCGCGCGTCAAAGGTGTAGTTGACAGCCTGCGCAATGGCACGCTTGGCCGATGCGGCGTGCTCGTAGTTGACGAGGAACCCGTTGACGCCGTGACGGACCTGACTGCGGAAGCCGTTGCCGTCTTGCACGACAACCGGCGTGTGGCACAGGAGGGACTCGTGCACGGTCATGCCATATGTTTCAAAGTCGGACGCGGAGACGGTGACGTCTGCGGCCTTGTAGTAGAGGCGCAGGTCGTGCTGGCTCAGCATCTCCGCCACGACCACGATGCGGTTGTCCTGGGCCTGCCGCTGCATAAACTCCTCGCGCAGGCTGCCATCGCCGACAAGCGCAAGCACAAAGCCGTCGGGGATGCAGTCGAAGAGGAGGCTGATGCGCTTCTCTGGCGCGAAGCGGCCTGCGAACAGCATCACCTTTGTGTCGGCGGGGTGGCCCTTGATGAGGCGCTCCCGCACGGCAGCGACGGCGGCTGGCTCATCGTGCTCCTTGAAGACGTCGGCCTTGAAGCCTTGGTCAATGTAGCCGGAGATGCGGAAGCCGCGCTTGCGGAGCATGCACATGTAGTCGTGGCTGGTGGTGAGGATGTGGGTGAAGGCTGATCCGTAGCTGCGCAGGAAGAAGGTGCTGGCGGCGTCGTAAAACTGGAAGAGAAACGCGTTGAGCACGTGCTTGCCAATGGCCATGAAGTTGGTGTGGATGACCCATATGCTTGGCACGCCCAGGCGCCAGCACTCGAGGCCGATGCAGGCGACTAGCGCGCTGTCTGGGCACACCACGACGTCGGAGCGCTTGATGGCCTCGCGGATGATGTCCATGTTCTTGAGGCTGACCTTGATCATCCGGAAGCCCGGGTGGGGGCGGAAGAACGCATGTTCCAAGGACCCGTTCCACGAGGAGAGGACCTCCACCTCGTGGCCGCGGGCCTTGAGCTTCTCTGTCAGTACCTTGTACGTGATGGCCACGCCGCCGCCAACGTGCATGGCCTCACTCGACACAGGCGCAATCACAAGCACCCGCATGCTGCCGTCGCTTTGAGATGGTGGTGGGTGTGAGGTGGAGGGAAGGGAGTGCGTGCTGCACAGCAGGCGTTGTTGTGTGGTGCCTGTGCTGCTGTAGTTGTGTGTGACAACTTGTGTGGGGTGTGGGAAGGGAGAGGAAGAAGGTGCGTGCTGCACAGCGAGTCTTGTTGTGTGTGTGCACGAACAGCACAACAGTTGTTCCTCCTGTCTATTTCGTGCAATTGCATCAAAAACCACTTGTGTGGTCATGTGTGTGTGTGTGTGTGTGTGTGTGTGTGTGTGTGTGTGTGTGTGTGTGTGTGTGTGTGTGTGTGTGTGTGTGTGTGTGTGTGTGTGTGTGTGTGTGTGTGTGTGTGTCTCGAGCTATGGTGGTTGACGTGCTCAAGACACGCACGCACACGCATACTCGCACACGCGCGCACACATGCACACACACTCGCACACGCGCGCACACATGCACACACACTCGCACACACGCACACTTATGCACAGTCTCAGTCCTGTATTTGTCATACACACTACGTGCAAACGAGCGAGCAACAAGCGAACGAGCAAACACGCCTAGAAGCCGCTATCTTGGCCCAGGTATTCAGACACATCATCAAAGGACACGACGCATGTCTCGTTGTCCTCGTCCTCAAACTGCACGACAACTTGCTCCTTCTTGCGAATGCGCTGTAAACATCATCCACGCATGAACGTGCAGGTGTGTGTGAGTGAGTCAGTCGGCGCATGGTGGAGGAAGTGGGGTTGCATGAGGTGCGAGATGCGTCTCAAAGAAGGCCACGACAACCACTCGGAATTTGTCACATAACACGAATAAACAACAACAACAACAACAACTTAAACAACTTAAACAACTTATACAACAACTTAAACAGCAACACGACATGAACGCACGCAAAGACACGTGCACATGCATAACACACCTCCAACATTCTGCCGACTTCGCCGCGGTGGTTACCGCGAACGCAGAGCACGCGCGCATTTGGCTGCTTGGGCACAATTGTCTCCAAGTCGCGCTGTCGCAGGCCTGGATGGTGTCGAAGAGTCGCGTGTGCATGTGTGCGTGTGTGCATGTATGTGTGCATGTATGCATATGTGCATCGGCGTGTGAGTTTGACCATCAAATGCAAATGGGTATCTCAATGTGGATGCGTATGTGCACTGCACAAGGGGCGCTGGCGGCAGCGAAACACGGCACCTCATCCATATACAATAAACACAAACATCCAAGTGCGCATAAAACCACACATACGGGGGAGAGAACGCGCAGGTGCATTTACCTTCAAGCATGGAGCCTTCGTCGGTGATGCACGTGATCTCATCCACAGACATGACATCCATCACCCGCACCTGTAAACAGATGGCGTGACAAGCAAGACAACGACGTGGATGGGTAGGCGTATATACCATGTTGTGCGATGTGACGTGATGCGATGTGATGTGATGCGATTTGATGAGACGAGTTGATATGTGAGCTGGTGCCAGCGTCAGGCACATGCGTGTTCGCACAAAAAATAGTACACACGCACGCACACACACGCACACACACGCACACACACACACACACACACGCACACACCTTGCGGTTGTAGTGCTTGCCGCGTGCAAACGTTTCGCTGATGATGCGAACACGAATATCGGGACACACCCATATCTGTCGTTACGTTGCCGAGCATTGGTGATGAACCAGCAAAGTCGATGAGTCAAACGCATTGAGGAACGCCCACGAGCACAAAAGCTTCCGCACGCAACGTATTTGTTAAACAAACACGTGTGTCAGCACACACAAACACACATGTTCACACACAAACGCACATACTCACACTATTCCCGCTCTTCAACCCCCCCCCCCTCCACACACACATACACAACGACGCACCGCTGGCTGCCGCTTGGATGAGGTTGAGCGCTTGGGGCGCTTGGAGATGTGCGCACTACCGTGTCCACGATGCCGGCCATCACCACGGTAATCATCATCGTCATCATCACCAAGCACAACTGCTGCTGCTCTGTGGCGTCTTTTGCGACTGGCATCATCCGCGCCACCGTCACGACCGCGCTCGCCTTCTCCTGCGGCTCTCCTTCGGCTGCTGCTGCTGCTGCTGCTGCTGCTTGCACCACGATCTCTAACGTCTGTATCATCCCTTGGTCTCCTGTCATCAGCATCACGGGTATCATGGGACGACGACGAAGAGTCATCGTCATCATCATCACTGTCGCCACCACCCCGCCTCTCTTTCTTCTTGTGTTTCTTGCCCTTCTTGCCCTTCTTGCTCTTCTTCTCCTTCTTCTTCTTCCTGCTACCACCTCGTGTCGCATCATCCTCAGGCGATTGCTCGCGCCCGCTTCTTCTCATATCCGCACTCACATCCATGTCGCCGCCACCACCATCACGTCGCCTCCTCGACCGGCCGGCATCATCACCGCCATCGTCGTCGCCATCATCCCTGTGTCCACTGCCACGACCCCGGTCGAGTTGCCTCGACTCCCTGCCACCATCACCACGATCACGATCACCATCACCACGATCACCATCGCGACGGCTGTGCCTGCGCTCTTGCTCTTGCTTGGCGAGGACGGCATCGACGCCCCCCGATCGCAGCAGCGCCACGCGGGCCTTGTAGTCTGTGGAGGCAACGGGCCGCACACGCCGCTCGTCCACCGTTATCACGGCCCCGCTCAGCGCCAGGCGCACGTCAACTTGCAGGTTATGCAGCCGCGTGATGGTTCCTGCGTGGCCCTCGTGTGCACCGCTGACAACGAACACGTATGCGCCGCGCTGCATGCGCACAACTTCTTCCTCATACACCTGCTCGGACGCCCGCTTGATGTTGCGCGCCCGGCCGTCTGCGCCAATCTTGGCCGACACCTGCGACACGGAGGTGCGCTTCTCCCCCGGCTTGATGTACTTCTTGGCCATGTGCTTGTAGTCTGGTTTGAGCTCAAGATCGCGCGTGGCGCCGAGGCCGAGCCGGTTCATGCGCGGCACATACTCGATGGGCTCAATCAGGCCCTGGAAGGTCCCGCCAATGGCCTCCCCTTCCTTCCACCCCATACCGCGCAGCATGGCTGCGCCAAACGCGTCCACAGGCACGCGGTCGTAGTCGTCGAGCTTGGACTCGTCTGGCCGCTGCGCCACATCCATCTTGAACTTCTCGTCGTCCGTTTGCGCCTGCTCCGTGCCCGGCGCCCGGTTGCGCATGAGCAGCGGGATGGCGTCAATCTCTTCCTTTTGGACGTCCTCCTTTGACGACAGGATGGCCTCGATGGCTCGCTGCTCCAACGTTTTCTTCTTGCTCGCAGCAGCAGCAACAGCAGCAGCAGCATCGGCTGTGCTCCCAGACAGTGCCGCGCCCGACTCCTGCTGCTTCTGCTTGCCAAGGGCAGCACGCAGCTTCTCCTCCGCCGTCATGTGCTTCTCCTTTTCCTTTTCGTTCTGCTTTGCGCGCTCCGCTTCCTCTGCCGCTGCCTTCTCCGCTGCGGTAGGGTCCTGCCACGCGTTGACCTTCTGCAGCGGGATGACAAGGTCCACCTTCTGCGACTTTCTCACTTCTTCCAGCGGCCGCGCATCATCAAAGGATGAGAGGAACTGCACGCTCCCAGCAGTGCCTGAAGCATCGTCATCATCATAGTCATCGCCATCGTCGTCGTCGTCCTTATCATCGCGACGACTGCTTCCGTGTTTTCTACTCGTCCTTCGTGAGGATGACGATGACAACGACGATGGCTTCGTCTTTCCACCACCGAGTGCAAATGAGATGGGCTTCTTGCTGCGGTTGCTGCTACTGCCACTACTGCTGCTGCCGTTGCTGCCGTTGCTGCCACTTTTGACGCCACCGAGGCTAAAGGAGATTCCTCTGCTCCCTTTCTGTTCCCGTTGTTGTTCCTGCTGTTCCTGCTGTCGCTGCTGCTGTTGTGACGGTCTTTGGTCCTGCCCAGCAGCACCACCATCGCCCCGATCGCCGCCGCTGCCACCCACCATGCTGCTTCGCTTGTCTTTCCTCTTCTTGCTTGTGTCGGGTTCTTGTGTATCGTTCGCTGTGGCTGGTGTGTAAATGAGCATTGAATCAGTTGCAGAACAAACAAAAATAGCCGTCAGTTTTTCTCCTATGTTGTTCGTGGCAACGGCAACTAACGCAAGCGAGCGAGGCAAGCGAAGCACAAGGGGGCAAACAGCAGGGGCGATCACCAACCACACCAAACCCACTGCTGTTCTTGTGCGCGAGGCCCCTCCTCTCTCGTTGGCAAACAAACAAACCCGGCACTCGTACGCTGTCAGAGCTGCTGCTTCACACACGTGCGCACCGGCCGCCGACGCTTGCAGAGAGGTGTGCACTGCCACCACTGCCACCACCACCAAACAACAACAGCAACAGCAACAGCAGCAGGCCTTGCGTCGGGTGTATTTTGCGTGCAATTTGCGGAGTGGCGTACCCAACCGTTGCCTGTCCCGTTCGCGCCCTCGACCGCTGTCCACCCTGCCTGACAACCAGCACAAACTGAGCGAGCATCGCATCAGGTGGGAAGGAAGAAAGAAGGCGAGACTGAAGCCCCGTGTGCAATGGTGGTGTTGTGCATGCATGGTTGTTGTTTTTCCTTTGCGCAGACCGCTACTTTTCCTTGCGTCTCCGTTGCTTTCCCTCGTCTTCTTCTTATTATTCTTCTTCTTCTTGTTCTTCTTCTGTTGCTCTTGCTTCTTCTGCAATCATCGTCTTGTTGTGCGAGCTCGGCCAGCAAGCAACGCAAAGAGCAAGCGTCGCAT